TTTTTTTTCGACATTTAACTGAATCTCAGTTCTTACAGTTATAAGTTTACAGTGCTAAACGAAAAATTAGATGCTGAATTCAAGCCATAAGCACAAGCTTACTAGCTTTCACTCAGCACGCAATTTTTTGCTTGGCGTCATGAACCCTTGTAGTCCATAATCCCTACCCTTATCTTCAGTTCCTATCTCCAGGCGAGATAACAGTTCCTCTCAAGTCATTATTCATGTTCTCCCAACTCTGTTGCAGCTCTCTGTGACTTAAACCAGCATCCCCATTCTCCTCCTCTTTCCTACGTACTTCTACCTTTAACTCACCATTCAAATTTGAATGAGCCCATAACGCGAGCAGACATACCTCGAAAATCGGTGGGCAGTCCGAGCGATCCTTGCTGAGTTTTAGTAGTCGGCTTGAATAGACATCACATAGCTGGGAGCCAAAGCGATCGTGCATTTTTGCGATGCTTTCCTGTGTTTGCTATGAAAAGACGCAGCGATAAATACAGTAGGCGGTTTCGTTTTTCATAGTGGCCTTTTTACTTGTTGAATACATGCGAAACAATAAAATTCGATTTTTAGCTTGCTTTGAAAAAGTGGACGTTAGTCTTAATGAATTCAAGAATATTTTGCTGTTATCTTGAAATCATCCAAATTATAGACAGTTGAACGATCTGTATGTAATGATTCGTTGTCGCGCAACAGGACAAGTCCAAGCACAAAATATTACAACTTTGGTTGACGTCTGCTCCACGGAAGTTTTTTTGACCGTCGTAGTAGGCGGTTGGCTGAAGCTTCATTTAAGGTATGCCAGTCAAATTTGCAGCACTGTCGTCCTCAGTTGGGGTAGACGATGGAGGATGGGAGCGGGAGAAGGGGAATGATGTTTTAAAGAAGCGAAAGCTCATTTCTTTTCGAAATAAGAAAATGCTAAAAACAGGAAGTTCGGTCAAGAAGCGCAAAAGGCCCCTAAAAAGTGTTAGTTTATGTCAGTTTATATGATAAAAATGAACAAATAGCAGCGTGCACCAGGGTAGCCGGTGCGGTCGTGCGTTTTGTGCAGTTCCATCCAAGGGACGTCTGACTACTAAAAAATACAACTGTTTTACACTTTCGTGTGTGGAACTTCATTTCAAATACAAATAGTCGATATGCTGTCTGGTTCCTAAGGTGAGGAATTTTGCACTGAGAATTTCAAGTGCCGGTGCAGGAAAGCTGAATTTGAAAAAATGGATGGGGAACATCCTTCCAAATTTCAACCTCCCAATTTTCAGGCTTCCGAGCTAGTGAATTTCAGATCAAAAGTCTCATGTGGTCGTACGTAATACCTGGCATACTTCGGGGCTAAATTTAAGTTTGTGAGTTATCTGCATAAACAGAAAACACTCTCCTGAAATTTCAGCTTCACAGGTCTTCTGTTCCCCAAGATAATAATTTTCCTCCCAAAACTTTCGCGAGGCCACACAAAAACCCCAGGAGTAAACAAAAGCTGAATGTGATTCTGCGAGGTCGCACACTCCCAAGATTTCAGCTTCCTATCTTTTATGGCTTAGATTAATTTTTCCCGCGGAAACTTTCACGGAGGCGTAATTGAGATCCAGGCTTAACTGAAAACCGACCTTGAATTTGCAGAGTTGCCCATGGGCAGGAAACGTTCTCGTTAAATTCCAGTTTCCTTACTTTTATGATCTCCCGGATAATAATTACTCGCTATACTTTCACGAGGCTTTACGTTATACCCAATCGAACGGGACAGTTGAATTTAAATTTTTTCGGTCGCACGTCGGTAGGAGACATACGCACAAAATGTCAGCTTCCTAGCTTTCTTGGTTCCCCAGATAATAATTTTTCTCGCCAAAACTCCCACAAAGTCGTACGTGTTATCCGCGGGCACGGGAGGGCTGAATTTAAATTTGTAGGGTTGCACTTGAGCAGAGGACACTTTACTAAAATATCAGCCGCCTGGCTTCTGTGGTTTCCGAGTTGAAAGTGCGGGATAGAATGCATTCGGGCACACACGCACATACACACACAAACAGATAACCCCGTGACAATATGTGTTGCTGTTATACAGCTCAAAACACATAAAAAGGACCGGTAAGTATTGGCTGTAGTGAAGAAACGTCTGATTAGTACAAATTCAAAAGGGGCATTACTTTATCTTTCCATGATGAGCTTAAAAGGCCGCTGACTTCCAAGTTATAGCACTCATAAATTTAAGTAACTGAATGAGATTTGGGATTTTGAGTAATTCCTTAATTAGTTTAAAATGGTAAACTCGTCGAAAGCATCAAAAACGTATTCTGTTTATCCTTTTGCCACTGACCTTCGTATTACAGAGAATGCCAACAATTTTTAGAATACAAAATGTATTCGCATTCATTTGCATGTCATGAGAGCTTGTATTTTGCGCGAAAAGTACTCTCCCTTCACTGGTTTTCCATACGTGATGCTTAGTGGAGTCATTGCATATATGAATTTGATTTCTGCCCTCGTTTAAATCTTTTAATCTGCAGTCTATGGGGGGAAAAGTATCATTTTGCGGCAGAGCGAACGAAGAAGCAGGACTCGAAGGAAGTGAACTGATCTTTTGCTGATTTTTTTTTTTTTTTTCAGGAAATTAAACGCAGCAACGCGAGAATCAGTACTGGAATGTGTACTCAGTCGAATTAGCACTTTAAAATCGGTAAATTTCTGGGGTTTTTTTTCACTGCGACTTAAACAATTTTGAAAATTGTTTTGGGGGAATTTTTTCACTTTTTTTTTTCAAAATATTGCATTTTAATTGCGTTTTAGGCAGCTGCGCATTTAGATGCAGTCGAGCTAATTGCGACTGCTGGCTTTTTGGATTCGCATGCTGTCGTCCAGTATGTTCAGGAGAGATTTGGCGAATTTACAGTTCTGGATAGTATCATTGTTATATTTCTTCGTACTTACCAGGTCATTTTTCTAGTTAATTTGTCTTATTGTATTTGAAGTTAATGACATTCATGATCAATAATTGAAGAGAGCTGAGTGCGGTCCATAGCATTGGTATGCTTCACTTTTTGGTCATTTCCCCCTTCACCTATGGTGCAAAATATCACTTTTCTGGGCCCATTTATCAGCATTAAAAGGCAATTTACGATTTATGGACTGATCTTACAGCTTTTTGGACAAAATGCATGTTTCTTCATTTGGGTTTTGTCCTTTTCGCAACTTTTTGAGTCTTTATTCATTTTTCCTTCCCTCTGTTTTTTTTTCTCAGTGTGGCGCATTTTTTTACTTTTTGTTTCTGTCTGAAATTTTTAGTCGTTAGTTATAATTTCGCGAACTGGTATGAAGAAAGCGAGTTTTAAAGAGAAAGACACTTTGGCCTGTGCTATGA